TCCCCCCCCCCCCCCCTTTTTTAATACTCTTAGTTAGCATGATGTTCTTTTCTGTGTCCATCTGTTAAACAAATTGTTAGAAAGCAACAACTAAACATGATAGGTATGATATAAATTACAAAAATATAAGAAAATGAGAAATCGATAGACTTTAAGGATGAATAAATCGACTGTTCTAGATGAGATTGTTTTGGGTTTGGTTGCCATGTATGCAACCGTCCCTTAGTCTGAAGTTGATATAATATTCATAACATTATAGAAACAGGGAGAATATTGTATAATCCTAATTAACATACTGGTATTGCCTAAGGATCCCGCAGAACTATTTGATTATGAGAGAGATTGAGAAATTGTCAAGACATAGTAGATTATATGTAACTTAAGTCAAGTCCTAAAGAGGTTCAGTACCATGCAAACTCATTTTATATAAAATCTTTTCGTTCATCGTAGCTTCTATGGAAAATAACAATTTCTCACAATTATTAAATTCCTATATTTGTTTTAATTGACCGAACCTTGGATGTGTCATTAGGGCCAAAGAAGATAAGTAAATGTTAGTGCACTAATATGCTTCTAAGTACAAGAACATAAGGATGAATCATATTGCCTAAAGGATGATAAGGATAGACAAATTGACTTACATGGTTAAAGAAAGTTCGAAAAATTGATAGGGAGTGCCTCCTAAACCAACAAAGCTAAACCTTCACTTTTAGTTCTTTTATGTGGCTCATTCAATAGTTCTTTTCGTGGCTCGTTCGATAGTAACTTGTAGCTATGCGTTCTTAGCCTAGCTAGAGTAATTCCAAGTTGGTTGAAGTACTTTACCAAAACCATTTCTAGAAAGCATGTGACTAGTAAGAACAAGACAGAAGGACATTTCTGCATTAGAAGTAACCCAAGACAAAAGTGGAACATCCATGTGATTAGGGATGTAACTACGAAAATCTTGTAAGAGACATTAAGGATCAAATATAATTTAGAATTTCCAATCCTAGTCGAAATCTTAGGCATGTGGTATTACAATTCCTAGTCCATAGATACATATGATAGCATTGCCTACACAACATTTTTTTTTTTTTTTTTGTCTCCTTGAGTACACTTACTGAGCCTCTAATATAAATTTTTCTTAAGGTTACAGGAAAAGAGCTACCTTGTTGTCCAATAACTTAAAACACATGAGGCAAATGTTAGACGATTATCATATATATATATATATATATATTGGACAAAGATGCGAAACTCTTTATTATGTATACATGAAAAACGTACGAACATGAAAGTGTGCCAATTAAATTTATTACGAGAAGAGTATAATCAGAAAATAGCTTTGATTTAGAAGCCCAAATCGAGACATCTATAATGATATCTTCCAAGCCATAATTGCCATAAAATATGTGTAAAACTAATTAACCGTAGCGAATGGCACTTGGAACCTTAAACCGAAAGAATTATCTCTTTTGCCAAACGAAACAGCTGACTTGGTTGCTTCATGAGGGTAGACCAAAGGCTTGCTCGCATACGGACTGTAAATAAGGACACGATCAAGGGCTTTTACGTTGTTTTCACAAAGGAACCAAGATGGGCTGAGAGCTATTGAGGGGATTCAGACCTGAATTTTATCAGTCCTGTTCAAAACCTTCTTGATTATAGACCACAAGAAGACAAACTTTTTAGAGTTAGCTTATTGACGAAAAAATTAAGCCTGCTGTCCTTGGAGAATCCTGTAAAAACTGCTTTGGCCGAAGAAGTTGAAAACACTCCCATCTTTTTCCAAAGCCCAAATAATCTTGTGGTCTCGCTGTCAACCACACTTCTGCCACCGAGATCTGTAAATAGGAGGATTCGATATCGGGTTAATCAGTAGCTTAGATATTCTTTATAAATACACATAAAACATAATATATAGCACAGAGATGATTTTTGTCCACTTTACAAGTGTAGAGCCTAGCTTCTCAAGTTGTTTCAATTACTCAGATGAGTGCCCTGCCAACCATTATTATCATTATGGGCAGCTGAGAGTTTATCAGATCAGGTAGAGCTCCCTTTTGCTTGTTGTGCAGAATAAGCTGCCATCCTGAATCTGAGCCATTGGCAGTTATGAGGATGAGGATGAATACATATACATGGTGGTTTTCAACTGTTTATTTTTACACATGATGTCACATCTCTTTCTCAACAGTTTTAGTTAATCATTAGCTTCCCTCCATCTCTTGAGTAAAACTTGGCCCTTTTTCTGAACTCCTCCATTTTATCCTCTTTCCCCATCCCCAAGTTGGATGAACAACAAAGGAATGGAAGCATTAAACCCCGTTTGTCTATGTACTTCTTCTCAATTTAAACTCAAAATGTTCTTTTTTTTAATTCATATATCCATCCTAATTATTTGTTTTAGAGAATGGGGTTGAAATGATTAAATTTGATCTGTCTGGTGATTTAGCTTAGTTTTAGAGAATGGCTATGAAGTTATTTTAAATTCCTTTGAGATGATTTAGTTGACTAAGGAATTATTTTGAATTTTTTCTGCTTCAAATTTAAAACACAAGAAAATAGATACATTTAATTTTTCACCGTTGAATATTAAAGAAAAATAACCAAAATATCACACATAAATAGAAAATATAAATAGTTATTATTATTATTATTATTATTATTATTATTACTATTATTATTATTTTGCTATACACTAGAAAAAATAAGGGAGAGAGTATTTTTTTTCAATAGAAGCAAGAAAAACAAGAAACACTACAAATTTAAAAGTAAACGACAACAAATATAAAAGCACAAACCATTTCTAGTGTTTAGATTCTAAAATGCACTTTAAATCTTTTAAAAATCACTTCTAATTATGTAATCAATAACTACAAAATAATAATAATAAATAAAAATAATAATAATAATAATTTTCCATTTAAAACACATTCCAAACCAAATTTTCTAATGAAATGACTCAACAACAAACATGCAATCCAAAGGATCAATTAACACAAAAACAAGAACATAAGACCCCATGTTTATAAGATATATACTTGTCCAAAAAGATGAAGCCTAGCTTCGTCAATTTCCTGGTACACATTTTTAGAACACTTGAAAAATTGTTTAAATATGACTTTAATGTTGCTTATTTGTTACCTCCTTTGTTATTTACTTCTGTAAGGCCTAAACTAGATGGCTGGAACGATGAAATTCTCATTTTTCATGAATGTGTCTCTGCCTTTGCTAATGTGAATTTGGCCCGCATTTTACTCTACTTACATCTAGCTCCTTATGAATTATTTGACGACCTTACTTTATGAGACACAATTCTATACTACTACTGAATCGTCAGACTTATTCATCACGATGAGAATCTTAGCTTGAGCCTACTTTCATCACACTCATGTTACTTTTTAGGAGGCATCTGTTCTGGTAAACTACCCATAGTTTAATCACCCTCAACTAAAACACTTAAGATTGTAGAGTTCGATAAATATAATTATATCGACGTGAATATCCATCCAGATAAAATAACATTCCACAAGAGGTTGAATACAGATTTTTTTACTTTAATATTAGATTAAATAATCAATCAATCCCAAAATTTAAGGGGTAAATCAAAGTAAGTTTAATTATATGATTACTTTAACTAACAAACTATTAAGAACAATAAATAAATGAACTCAAAGCGACAATGAGATGATGATGGTGAACTGTATGGCATATAGAGATTCTGGGGATTTGCAAAATTTGCAGAGGCCACAGAGATAATGTCTGTCTTGAAACCTTCAAAACAAGACAACAACATCGAAAATTGTTGCCTCATTTTTAGTTTCCCTTCAATTCTTTTTTTTTTTTTTTTTTTCCTTTTCAACCAAAACCCTCCATTATTAATATTATTTCTCCTCTCTTCCATTCTTTCTTACACACTCGTGCTGTCTTGAAAATAGCATCCCAAC